AACGCCGGGCCGCCGCCGTGGGGAGTTTTTCCCCCCGTTATCCCGGCTGGGGGGGCTGAGCGTGCCCGTCTTCTTTCTCCACCGGGAAGCCTGCGTGCGCTGGGATCCGCCGCTGGAAAGCCTGGGCGGGTGGGATGAAGCCAGGCCTGACCGCCATCCCGGCGTGCTGAGCCGTACTGATTCAGCCTGCGCGGAGCTGGAGGTAAGAAGCGCTGAAACGTGTCCCACCGCTGCAGCTCCTGTTTCTTGGTTGCTCTTCGGAGCATCTTAGTCCTCCGTGGTAGCACGTACCTCCCAACACAAGAAGGACATGGAGCTGCTGGAGCGGGGCCAGAGGAGGCCACGAAGATGATCCGAGGGCTGGAGCACCTCTGCTATAAAGACAGGCTGAGAGAGTTGGGGCTGTTCAGCCTGGAGAAGAGAAGGCTCCGGGGTGATCTTATTGCAGCCTTCCAGTACCTAAAGGGGGCCTACAGGAAAGCTGGAGAGGGACTTTTTACAAGGGTGTGTAGTGATAGGACAAGGGGCAATGGCTTTAAACTGAAAGAGGGCAGATTTAGATTGGATATAAGGAAGAAATTTTTCACTCTGAGGGTGGTGAAGCACTGGAACAGGTTGCCCAGAGAAGTTGTAGATGCCCCATCCCTGGAAGTGTTCAAGGCCAGGCTGGATGAGGCTCTGGGCAACCTGGTGTAGTGGAGGGTGTCCCTGCCCATGGCAGGGGGGTTGGAACTAGATGATCTTTGAGGTCCCTTCCAACTCAAACCATTCTGTGATTCTAAGTGCAAAATACAACTTGGATGCAGGAATACATTAACAAAACTTTGTCCTAGAGTCACTTGACAGTAGTGCCACTAATTCTCTTTTGGAACGAGGTGTTTTGCAATACCTGATGGTTACAGTGGTACAGCTCGGTAACGGAGAATGCAGGAGGAGAACTGAGAATTGATAAACATGTTGGAAGAGCCACTGTCAAATGGATCAGTGTGATACAGGTGGAAAAGGTTCTCTTGAGCGTTGATTGCACATACTCGTTGTTTACAAAAGGCTGTTAGGGAGTGCATGCTGGTAGAGATTGCTGTGAGCAACCAGAGCAGAGGAAGCTGGATGGTTTTATCCAAGGGTGGATCACCTTCCCCACCTTAGAACCACAATCTGTTTGTGTTGGGCAGTTGGAGAGTACCTGTGCTGTTTGTGGAGGTTGATCATGGAGCAGAACAGCTCGATGATGGTTGCTCTGGGCTGTTAGGAAATGCCACTGGTTTGTTTTGAAGGGAACTTCCAGAATGTGTCCCAGACATTGGCTTTTGCCTCGGCAGGGACTGAAGCCCATGACTCTCAGATAAGGTGTGGGATGAGTCCTAGGATGAACTAGTAACATTGGTATTGCTTGTCTTCAGTCCTTGTAGTGTGAGGGCATGGGAGCTGCACTGAAGTGACTGGTGCCATGGAGGCTGCCATGGAGGTGCCTCATGTTGACTGTCTGATGTGCTAGCTTACGTGTAGGAGTTGGTATCCACACTGTGGAGGAGCTTCACTGATGAGGTTTGTGACCTGCTTTCAGCGTAACTTTGTCCCTTGCTGTGCTACTTCAGCGGTTTCTAATTCAGCCTAAAAAATCAAAAGGACAAATTTCAGGTCAGAATGTCGTAGTCTCCAAGTTGTGACAGGGGTGCCACACTTCAGGAATGTTAAAGTGTTTACCAAAACCATCTGAACGGTAAGTAGGAGTTAACCTTTGGGCGGGACTACCTTGAAAGCTGTTTTAGGGTATTTCTGTGTTCTTGTTGAAAAAACTCTTAGTGTGTCTGGGCCTTTGCTTTTCAGTCTCTTAGGAGGAAGGGTTGTCAGCCATGTCTAGTTTTCAAGGCACTTTGTAGGGAAGTTGAAATAAGATGTGTGTCTTCCTAGTAGTGATGGAAACTGATGTTCTGGGTGAAACATGGCATTGATTTTATTTGCCCTGTTTGGTGGGAGTCACCTGCCAGGTTCAGGAAGCACCGATTTCCAGCCTACAAAACTGAGAAACAAGCTGCCCAGTGGCAGTTTGTTCCTCATCCTGGTGCTTAATCATCACTAAGGTAACTTAACAATGAAAAAGTCTTTGCTAATGACTGAAGGCCTTAAGAGCACAAATTATGTTTTTTGTTCAAATCTTATCGAATTGGTTAACTTGAAGCCTTAGGTAAATGTTGTGTTAATTCAGATCTTTGGGTGTTGATTTCTTCAGTTAGCTAAAACGGTAACTTGTTTCCTGAGGATTTTCAACTAACATAGGAATAATGCAGTGTAAATAACTATTCCTAGTCATTCAGGGATCTCCTGTCTTCAAAAAAGAACACCACTCAGGAGCTGTTAATATCAAATGAAATTGTACTTTTAGTAAATCTAACTGTGGCAAATACGAGAAGTCAGTCTTGCGTCTCCTCAGGGGGGAAATTAATATGTCTGAGTTTTGAAATAATTTATTGAAGGTTTAGGGGTTCTTGTCTTCTGGCTTCTGTATGTTTTAATTACCCGAATGCTGTGGTGTTCTTTAGGTTTCTTAATCATAGAATCATAGAATGGTTAGGGCTGGAAGGGACCTTCAAAGGTCATCTAGTCCAACCCCCCTGCAAGGAACAGGGATATCTCCAACTAGATCAAGTTGTTCAACTAGATCTGAACTAGATCAATGTTCAAAGTGGTTCCTATGTAAAGCTGGGGAGGGACTTTTTACAAGGGCATGTAGTGACAGGACAAGGGGCAATGGCTTTAAACTGAAAGAGGGCAGATTTAGATTGGATCTAAGGAAGGAATTTTTCACTCTGAGGGTGGTGAGGCACTGGAACAGGTTGCCCAGAGAAGTTGTAGGTGCCCCATCCCTGGAAGTGTTCAAGGCCAGGTTGGATGAGGCTTTGGGCAGCCTGGTGTAGTGGAGGGTGTCCCTGCCCATGGCAGGGGGGTTGGAACTAGATGATCTTCGAGGTCCCTTCCAACCCAAATCATTCTGTGATTCTATGATAATATCACTTTTTGTGTTTTTTTCTGCTGAAGAATGGAGTGGAGCAGGGAGGGGGAGCAGCTGTGAAATTGCATCCGGTATAACCAGATTGTTTCTTTTTTTTGTAACCCTTCTAGTGTGAGCAAATCACAGTGCATCATGGCGGCGGACTCTATGGAAATTGATGATGCTTTGTACAGGTAAGAAAATCTGATTTTTAAGTGTTGCTCTCAACTTTTCAGCAAGGCTGATGTTTGCACGCCGTAATGTGAAAGGCAAGGCTTGAAAACACTGTCTACTGCTGGTTGGGTGAAGGCGTGCGTGCTCGTGCTGCTGTGCCCCTCCTCTTGTAAGGCAAAAAACTCGAAACGGGGTTGAGCGGTTTAAATAGACCCTGCCTCTTCCAGAGTTAGTGGTGAGAACTGGTTGAACTGGAGATACAATCCATCTTTTTGTAAAACTGTTCCTTTATTGGTCTTGTAACAGGTCTTTTCTGACTGTTATTAGTATTTGACCAGTAAAAAGTGTAGGTAAATACTATGGAATTGTACAAAGTTCCGATACTTTCAGTAATGTGTACTTTTTGGAAAACAGGGATAATACTTTTTCTGTTTGTAATACGGATTTTCTTTCTGCCTATGACTTGTTTCCCCTTTGACGAAGTAGATGCTCCTCATCTTCTTTCCTCTGTCTTCCTTTTTGACATTATGTAATTTATCTCTCTCATAATTTCATTTATTCCTCAGTCTTTGCCATACTTCTCTGTCCTCGTGAACATCATCAGTATTTCTGTTATCCTCTAGACTTCAGGGTGTTTGGTTTGGGGTTTTCTTGGTAGGTTTTTAAAAAAAATATTTTTGTTTTAATTTGTTAGCTGGGAGTGGCTTGAGATGGCAATAGTTCAGAGAGCCTGTACTGGAACAAATGGTATCCCTGGAAAAACATGGTGGGATGAAAAGCTTATTTATATATTTAAAAAAAAAAAAATCTGTTCAACTGTATGCTAAACAAATGAGACTTCTTTTTGTTTCAGCGCAATGCTTCCTGTGTTGTCTTGTTTTACTTTTTGGCACTAGTCTTACAAAAGTCATACTTTTCCTTGGTGGAAAAGGTGATATTTAGAATGGTTTAAGTTTAATTGTGTAGCTGGAAACTAAGAGTCTTTTGGAGCTCAAGATCTTGACTACAAAACCTGCTTCACCCTCTGGTTTGAAGATTTCTGATAAAAAAGAAGTTGTTTGGCTCGCTTGTGTCTTCAATAGTTAATTCCAAAAACCTACTGTCCTGGATAGGTTTTACACTGATTTAAAATTAAAAGTTTATTTCTCTTCTCTGAAACCTGGCACCGTACTAAATGCATTTCACTCTTGGGGTTGTGAGTGCAAATATTACACTTGGTATACATTTATTTCCTAAAGCACTCTACAGTTCAGATACATGCATGTCATGTCTTCGTTTCTCGTTGAACGGAGGGTGGTAAATAGAACCATGCACATGTCGCTAGTGACGCACACTCATCTGCAGAACTTGATGTTGAGGATTATAAACTGATGGGGATGATAGAATAACTGAAAATATTTGGACTTTTTTGGAAATGACTGGGCATTCTTGACTTGCTTGCACACGATCTTGATTTTATTTGTATCTTGTTTTGATCTGAATTTATCTTTGCTGTAGTCGCCAGAGGTATGTTCTTGGAGACACGGCAATGCAGAAGATGGCTCAGTCCCACGTGTTCCTGAGCGGTGTAGGAGGTCTTGGTGTGGAGATTGGTAAGTTAAGTAACATTTATTTAAGTAGACACGAGTGTATGTAAACGTACCGTAAAGCTAATTTTAGAGGTAATAAGCATGTCTGAAGTATCAGTGAATTTATATGTTCGTTACGCGCATGAGTAACAGAGCAGATGCAGGAAAGATCCTGGACTTTTCTCTAGTAAGCTTTTCACTAGAACGACATTTCAAATTTTGCTTTAAAATGTTCTTCCATGGGCCAGATTGCTTTACCCAAAATCTTGTGTCTTGGGTAAATAATCCGAGTTACTCCTTTAGGCATCAATATCAATGAATGTAATATGGGATCAGCTGTAGCCTGACTTATCCCCATGTAGGAGCTGGTTGGGTGGGAGGTAGGAGAACAGATGCAATTTGGTGGAAAACGGATAACTGACCTGGTGCAAGAGAATCCTTAACAATTTCCTTTACTCTTTACAAGCAAGTCTTGTCTTGGCTGGTTCTTACTGGGATGTTAGCCTTTCAGTAGACTTTGTGGTACTCTGCACCAGATGCCAGAACAGAGTCACGGGGTTTTGCAGTTTATTGTCATTAGTGTCTGTAATCACTCTGTAGAATGAACAGCTGATGAAGAAGAGAGCCTTTTGAACCTTGCTGGTGTTATTCTGCTTTCGGTGGTGCCGTAGAGTGCTTGAGCTAAACGTAAAAGAGAACAAACCCTTAAGCTGTGAAGTTCTTAGCAATGACATACTGTTATTGTCCACCCACGTAGCCATGCAATTACAGATTTGCAAGAAATCTGCAACAGATTTCTCTCTCCTTTTTTTTTTCAGCCAAAAATATAATTCTGGCTGGGGTAAAGGTACGTAAAACAGTTCTGTTGTTGGGTATTCTTGGGTGAGCAGGAGAAAAAGGGACAACACTACTAGCTAGCTAATCTTAAGTTTCTGAAACTGTCTTTCAGTAGAATTGAAAAACATGTGAGGACCTGGGGGTGAAAACTTTGATAATCTGGACGTTCTAGTGGTACGGTCTGAGTCTCACATTAATTTCTGCTGCATTTTGAAATACCTCATGGAATATTTTAGCCAGCTGCTGATCAGACATTGAATCCTTGTGTACAAAGCGGCGTCTCCTAAGTGGGGTGGTATAAACTCAAAAGCCACACTGTTCAAAATACATTCTCCTGTTCTGTCATCCATCAGAATCCTTTTGTGTAAGTGTTAGAATGGTTGGTGTTTTAATCCAGTAACTGCTTTTGTGCTGCTGGGATTAATTTTATTAGAGAGAAGCCTTTTCAGACTCTTTCTTCCAATAAAAAACCCACTTGTTTACAACTTTAGAAGTCCATTAATTTACAGATTGCAATTTCCCCTTAATTGCAGCATGGCAAAAATCGTCCTCGATGTTAAAATGCTCTGATCACTGCAAGCTGGGAGGGAAATGCTTAATGAAATGCGTGTTGCAGATGCATTTCTCTCTCAAACAGTATGAGTTTTCTTGGAAAAGAGGTTGGAGGAGCTTGTTCTTATACATGGTACAACTAAATCTTCTGCAGTGCTAGTCCTCCAGTGTTTTATGTGGGGCTTAATCCATCCTTTTGGGTGCTATGATCATGTACACTTCTTCCAGTACATGCTTTTTGCCAAACTTTCTTAGGCTCTTACAGTTCATGACACCAAGCAGTGCACGAAATGGGATTTGGGGATCAACTTCTTCATCCATGAAGATGATATTACCAGTCAAAGGAACAGGTTGGTGAAATCTTTGGAGTGGGGGAGAACTAAATGTGGCTAGGAGTAACAGTTTAGTCAGTGGCAAAAATAACAGTTCATTGTCCAAGAGGTACTAATACGTATCAAATACCTGTTAAACCCTTTCTCTGGAGTTACTGGCTTTGACTACAGTGCCCAGGTAGGCATTAGGGGAAGTCTAGCTTGGGACTGGAGTTCTGAGTCAAACTTCTCACTTCTTGCAGTGGGGAGCTTGTAATGTAGTTTTAGTAGTGGGGGCCAGGGTGTGTTTCTTTCTTGGGCTTTCTCAGCCACCTGTGCAAGACTACAAACCAGTTACGACACCAGACCATTGGTGTGTCCTGTTGTATATTGGACAGAGCTGTTTTCCTCAGATCTGCTAGGAATTTAAGTGTGAATAAATGAGTCAGTGATTGTTGACAGGAGACTTCCTGGGGGACTCTTGTAGGGCATGTGTGGTTTGAAATTCTGTATTGAAAATACGGTTTTGTAGATGCGTAAAAAAACTTGGAAGTTGCTGTTCTTTCAGGGCTGAGGCCACGCTTCATCGGATTGCAGAACTCAATCCATATGTCCATGTGGCAGCATCAACTGTGCCACTAGATGAAACCACAGATCTGTCTTTTCTAAAGCAGTACCAGGTATGTCACTCTTAAAGCAGTGGTTTTCTGTTCCTCGCTCTTTCTTTCGACACTTAAGGAATTTACTATGACAATAAGTAGCTAAGTGAGATTGCCATACCATATTTTTGTTGTTGTTTGAAGGTGAAACTCTGACTGTTTTTTTGCATCTGCATAACACAGATGTTCTACATGTATTTTGTATTCCAGGCAGCAGAAACTCAGGCTATACAATTAGAAAGATCATTTATGTTTGTATGTGTCTAATGAAACGTAAGCTCCTCTGTGGTGGAAGGAGGATGTTTTCAGTTGTTCAGTCAGCTGTCTCCTGCCTGTGTGCGTGGCTCAGTCTGAGTTGGAAACATTTACTGTGTGGTTATCAGTTACACCCAAGCTCACCAAGTCTCTGAATGTCCCACCTATAATAGAATCATGGAATGGTTTGGGTTGGAAGGGACCTCAAAGATCATCTAGTTCCAACCGCCCTGCCATGGGCCGGCAAACCCTCCACTACACCAGGTTGCCCAAAGCCTCATCCAACCTGTACTAGCCTAAGCTTTAAAAGAATGCTTGCAGAAATTTTGTGTCTGCAGTTTGATGAACACCAGTGCAGACTTCTTGGTGTGCACTGATGAGTAAAATTCGTCTTTGTTTTGCTAACTTTAATCTTAAAATTCAAGATGTACATTTTCTCTTAGATTATCCATAACTGATTTTTTAAGTATTCTAATTAGGTTTTGAGTTTCACAGCTGCGATAAAAACCAAAAAAAAGAGTGAGAATTTGCTGTTCCTGCTCTTGCTCATCTTGTTTCCAGAACTCGTGGAGCAGTAACCCATCTGTGTAATGAGAAAACTGACTCAAGTCTGCTTTCTCTGTTCTGTGTGGGGGAAAGGAATCAGGACACCTGAGTAACTTAACTGTTAGCACTACTTTTTCCATAGCCTAAAGATGTTGATTGCTTTCAGTGTCTTAAGATTTATTTCTGTTCTTGTTCACAGTGTGTCATATTGACTGAAGTGAGTCTGTTGCTGCAGAAGAAGATTAATGACTTCTGTCATGCTCAGCAGCCACCTATTAAGGTAAGAGCAAAAATTAAACACATGAATAATGCATACAGTGAGCATTCTGGACTTCAAACATGTTCAATCCAGAAATGGAGAAAGCTGGTTATGGGGTATATTGTTCTATGCAGGTAGCATGTTGATGGAGCAGTATGAGTTTGGGGAGTATGATGCTGCTACTCTGTACGTGTGTGTGGTGTTACCTGGATACCAGCCCAGATAGCTTGGTTCTTAAAAGAAAAAAAACTTCTTTTAAAGAAATAGTTTTCTCTCTTAATTGTTCTGCAAGAATGTTCTGAGACCGAATGTAACAGTAATAGGAATGGTAGTACTTCACTGCGTATTGGTGTGATTCCTGGTTTTTGTGTGAGGGTTCTGGAATGCTCATGCAGGTTCAAAGTCTGCCGTGAATGCTGTGCTCTAGAGTCAGCGGCCTGGGTGCACGTGTCAGGCTTCCACCGTAGAAGTTAAACCAGCCAGCCTTGGACAAGGTTGAATGTGAGAGGTCATTCCTTTGGCTTGTGCTGCTTTAGGGATACTCATGATTTTTGCTTTCTCTTGTAGTTCATCAGTGCAGATGTATATGGAATATGTTCGCGTTTGTTTTGCGACTTCGGTGATGAATTTGAGGTGCTGGATACAACAGGAGAAGAGCCAAAGGAAATCTTCATTTCAAATATAACACAAGTAAGGAGTAGAAGTCATTGTG